CTCCCTCTTTTTCTTTCTCCCCATAGACCACAGACATCAGAAATAGACGTGTTTGTGCACATGTGTGTGTGTGTAGGGGGGGCATACACATCACTTCTTTCACCCTAGCATGGGCCTCACAAACGGGGTTAGCCATCATTTATTCACTGACATTTTCATTGACAATCGACTGAGTACTGTATATGCCAAGCATGATACTGAAGGTGAAAAAAAATGGAATAAAGCATGATGCCTACCTTTAGAGAGCTATGCCTAAAGGAAAAGACAAATAAGCAAAGCACCATAAAGGAAGTATACATGTGACTGCCCCATGAACCTAGGGGTGGGGGAGGGTCAGGGAAGCTTGTTGGAGTAGGTGGCTGAAGCCTGCAGATCACCTAGGAGTCAGATTGAAGGAGTGGAGAGGGATATGGGATTGAAGGGACCTTTTTCAGGACCTGAAATTGCTCAGTATGGACAAAGCATATAGAGCCATGGATGGGCAGAAGAGTTGATCCGATGGCTTCATCAATCATGCCATAGAGTGTGGATTGATCCAGTCCATCCACTAGGGGACAATGCATCTGCCACGGAGACTCCAAATCCCAAAGTCTGGGGGCTCCACAGTAGGGGTCGAGATAGTAGGCACCATTTAGCTGAAACATGGGCCAGGAAATGGCCTTCCAATCCATTAGGGCTACAAACAAATACAGAGGGTGCCTCATCTCCCCACATGGATGTAATTTCAGTGTTTGCCAGAAGGGATTCTGGGGAATACTACCCTTTGCAAAGACAGGGTCTGGGGGAAAGGGTTTAAGATATGTGGCCTGTGAGATTGTCTTCTTAGATATTCATAAGGCTCATTAGCCTTTGAGCCCTAACGTTAAGGCTCTGAGAAGTCCTGTAGTAAAGCAACACATTTAACGTTGCCAGGTATTCAAATTCATTTCATTTTGAAACTTTTCATCTTTATAGCATCATTAAAATGCCATGGAACACTTGAAAAAGCTGGATAGACTTCCCCAGGCCTCCAGCTAGAGCCTGTTCAGAGCAGAGCGCATCCTGGGTTATGGGCTTGGGTGTTGCCCAGGATTCCTAGGGCACCCCACTGCTGTGGAGCTGTGGAGCCTTTCTGAGCAGATGAGAGCTGCTGTGGCTGGTGCTGGCAGCACAGACCTCATTGTCGTGAGTCAAGCGGCCACCCCTGCTCACTTGGATCTACAGTACTTGGCCAACAGCCTGATTGTGGCTGCCTCTGAGACAAGGAGTCCATGACTGACTTTTACAAAAAAGTGGTTGAAGTTAAAAACAGAGCCCTAGACCCAGATCAGTGAAGCTGTCTGACCACATCGGCCCTGTGTCCTTGGAGGATGCTGGTTTTACTCTCTGATTTTCAAAGGGGGGCTCAGGCACTTCTGGAGGGGAGATGCTCTTTTCTGGTTCATCTCCCCATTGGATGAGCCAGTGATGTTCAGGTGGAGCTGCCTCTGGCACCCAGGATGACCGAGGGTGGCACTAGGGTGACACTTTGGAAAAAGCCAAGAGGACTCTGAAGAGTCAGCACTGATCAGAGAGCCCAAGCCCATGAGTGCTGAGCTGCACCCATTAATGACGTGGCCACAGCATCAGAATATGCTGTGGGGCCAGGCCAAGCCCTGGCCCCCAGTCCAGGATTCTGACCCACAGGGCATTTGGTCGAAGAGCATATCCAACTCCTCTAGGAGGACCTACCACTTCCCCTCACACGACCACCTTTATTAACCTGCGGGTTTGGTCCCCTGGACAACCTCTTAGGGTTAGTTTTGTGTTGATGCTTCAATATTTGAAGAAGTGCTTTCTTTTCTTTAGTCTTAAAATATCTCATTCCAGTCTCAAGAACTGCCCTTGACCTTTGATGTTGAGGGTAAGAACACCATGTGTCCTGAGCCAGTCCCTCCCTTTTATAACATTGATTAGGATCTCTGTGATTTCATCTTTCCAGGCAGAAGGCATTCTCCCACTGACTCACTAGCTCCTAGTTATCTGTTACTCATTCATTCATTCCACAAATATTTCCAAAGGCCCCTCTAGTTACCAGGCATTTTCCAAGTGCTGGAAGTAGTGAACAAAACACTAGGGAATACTAGTGAATAGGGATTATCTAATCCCTATTCTGTTATAGTAGATAATTTTTTAAAAAAATATACAATGTGACATGCAAAGTACTCTGGTAGACCCTTAAGAAGTTTTCACAGGGAATAAGATAAAAGATGTAAACAACTGGTATCTTGTCTGGGAGTGTTTGCTTACAAAGAACGAGACCCCACTCAAACTAGCTCAAGTTAAAAAGTGGGGAAACCGGTAAGAATCAGGTGTCCCACAGAATTAAGTGCAGGAACCAGAGCAATCAGCTCAAACAGCCACCCTCCCTCCTGGTTACATGCACATTCTTATTCATTCATCCTTTCTCCCTTCCTCCCTCTTTTTCTCATCTCTCCCCTTTGTCTCAACCTCTTTCCTTATTCACTTCATCCTTTTCACCCCTCTAAGGTGGGAGGTGACTGGGGAAGGAAATAGTTGGTATTTCAACTGCAAACAGATACAAGCTAGAGTGTAATTAGGGCAGAAGAGCAAGGGCCACTAGAGTTAGAAGGTGGGGGGATACCTTAGAGCTCCATGGAATCAGGGAAGTCTTTCTGGAGGAGGTGCTATTTGAGTGGGGTCTGGTGTGAGGAGTGTCTGGATGCCTAGTAGAGAGCAGGGACCTTCCCCGGAACAGAGAACCACGTGAGTGGAGCACAGAGGGTAAGAATGCCCACTGAGAGCACGGGGGAACAGGCAGAGAGGATCCTTCCTGATCATCCAACTTACCGTCCTCCCTCCATCCCTGTGATCCTTTACCTGGATTTGTCTTCAGAGTGGCCAGGACTCTGCTGGTCTGCAGGCTACACTGCAGGGGCAGATGGGCTATGACTGAAGGGGACCGGGGCAGGTGGGGTTATAAGATCACAGCTGGGCAGGGCAGGGATGGGAGAAACGTTGCCCAGTGGAGACTCCGAGACCCGAGCAATGTGACAGGAAGTATTACCAGGTGGCAAAAGGGGTGGCCGCCCCTTCCCACCCACCTGTGTGTGACTCAAATATAAAGTCATCCAGTGACAGGAGCTTTGATGAACAAGTCAGATGGCAGGTGTGAGCCTCCAGTCTGCCAGTGATTTGCTGACTGATCGCTGGCATCAAGCAACTTAATGGTTTTTGGGTTCCTCTGTATTTATTAGCACTAAAAAATGACTGCTGTGTCAGTCATATCTGGTAACCTGAGTGGAGCCCTCTGCCTCTGGGCTGGGGCTTCCTGGAGCAGGTAAGGTGAGTTATGTATCATCCACACCTAGAGGTACAAAATCAAAAAGCCTTTTCACAGCCTCTGCCTTTTTCTTTTATTTATTTATTTTTTTTAGCTGGGGCCAGGAGGATTCATTTCAAGCATCTGCAGTGGGGCCAGTGCTTTTAGATAAGCATCTCGTGTTGATCTTACACCAAGTCAGTAAAGTAGGGATTTTCCCCACTTTTCAGTGAGCAAACTGAGACTCAGAAGTTGAGATACCTGTCGGAGGTCACACAGCTAGTGGCAGGGCTGGGACTTAACTCTCTCTGGTTCCAGACCCTTCCTGCTGGTGAGCCACCATGGGCACCTCCCCAAGACCTGGGGCCCTGTGGCAGATCACTGGGGCCCGTTCAGGGTGGGTCTGAGGCTGCCGCACAGGGCGCAGGGGCTCCAGATGGTTCTGCTGGAAGGGCTGCCGCGCTCCCTTCCACAGGCCTCTCCTCGACTCCCCAGTGAGCTCTGCACCAGCAATTGTCATGAAGACAAGGACCTGTCGCGGGCTGCTTCCCGCGGGTGTGGATGTGCTTTGAGTCGAACGCATCCAAGGGCACCTGCCACGCGCACTAGAAGCCAGGAGCGACAAGGCTTTCCCACATCAGGCGTCGGCCCAGGCAGAGCCCTGTCATATGTAGCTCACGCTCAGAGTCACACTCAGGAGATGGAGTTGCTGTCTGTCAGTCCTCTGCTTGAAGCACTGTCATCGTCAGGAAGTACCTACTGGACATCCAAAGGATCTGGGATCTGGTGTCTTGGGTACATTTCCTTCCAGGAAACCACCTGCTATGTGACGTCTGGATTTCCTCTTCTCTGAAACGGGGGGTGGTAAATAATGTGTCCTGGGGACCTGGGTGTCGCTGTTGTAAGGAAAACCTAAGGCGACATCAAGTGCGTTACAGGCTGTGAGGCACTGCCGGGTGTTGTTATTGTTAGGACAAGCTCGTGGGCAAACTCGTGTGCAAGCTCGTGGGCAAGGGCATGGGCCTTCCTTCCTGTAAGCTCCATGAGGACGAGGAGGGCTTCCCTGTGAGACCAGCTTTCACCTCGCCCAGCCAGCCCCGTTCACTGAGGGTCCAATGTGCAGATGGCAGTCTTAGCTGTAGCCCTGCCTGGGGTTGAAGCTGAGCTTCTTCGCCCTGGAGTGTGGTTTAGAGGGAGATGCTCAAACTTATGTGCAACAGAATCACCTGGGAGCTTTTGAAGTTCAGATTCAAGGGCTTCCCACCCAGAGATTCTAATGCACTAGGTCTGAGATGGGGTCAAAAAAAAACGATTTTATGAGTTTGTCATGTGAAGTTGAAATTCAGGCAAGGACCAGTTAAATAGGGCCCAGCTCAGAGTCCCAGAGGTCAGCACAATCTCCAGGAGGAGGCCTCTGGGTAGCTCCAGCTTCCTGGCATGTGGGGGTGGAGAGGTTGGGGGTTCGTTTCTCTTGCAGAGGACGCAGCAAGAGTCCATTTATGCTGACGGGAAGCCAGGAAGCGTGTTAGGAAAAGGAAAGAGAAGGTGGTCGCTGAGAAGAGCCCCGGCAGGCTTCAGCAGGGATGGGAATGGGCTGTGAGCCCCCGCCCGCGGGGGCGGGGACTGGGAGCCCAGAACTGTGACCGGCAGAGGGGCCCAGTGGCCAGTTAACAGGGCGTGTCCTTCTGTCTCTCCCCAGATCGTGTTCCGGAAGATCAGCGACGTGAAGCGGGAAGAGGAGGAGCGCATGAAACGGAAGAATGAGGCCCCCCTGATCTTGCCGCCAGACCACCCTGTCCGGAGGCTCTTCCAGAGGTTCCGGCAGCAGAAAGAGGCCAGGCTGGCGGCCGAGAGGGGCGGCCGCGACCTGGACGACCTGGACGTGGAGAAGGGCAGCGTCCTCGCGGAGCACGCCTCCGCCAACCACAGCCTGGCGAAGGCCAGCGTGGTCACCGTGCGCGAGAGCCCCGCCACGCCCGTGCCCTTCCCGGCGGCCTGCCCCGCGGGGCTGGGCGTGTCGGACCACGCCAAGCTGCACGCGCCCGGCTCTGAGTGCCAGGGCGCCAAGGCGGGCGACTGCGCCAAGCGCAAGGGCTGGGCCCGCTTCAAAGATGCATGCGGGAAGGGCGAGGACTGGAACAAGGTGTCCAAGGCCGAGTCCATGGAGACGCTCCCCGAGAGGACCAAGGCGTCAGGGGAGGCCACGCTGAAGAAGACGGATTCGTGCGACAGCGGCATCACCAAGAGCGACCTGCGCCTGGACAACGTCAGCGAGGCCAGGAGCCCCCAGGACCGCAGCCCCGTCCTGGCGGAGGTCAAGCACTCCTTCTACCCCATCCCGGAGCAGACGCTGCAGGCCACCCTGCTGGAGGTGAAACACGAGCTGAAGGAGGACATCAAGGCCCTGAACGCCAAAATGGCAAACATCGAGAAGCAGCTCTCTGAGATTCTCAGGATATTAACTTCCAGAAGATCCTCTCAGTCTCCCCAGGAGCTGTTTGAAATATCTAGGCCCCAGTCCCCGGAATCAGAGAGAGACGTCTTTGGAGCGAGCTGAGAGGCCCGTTCATGCAGAGTCGAAGTCGGAAACCCGCCACCCCGCCCTAGGCGACACCCCCACCACACACCTACATGACCAACCACCTTCCGAGTAGGCTTTTCCGGACAGAAGCCCGAGTGGGACCAGTTGCTTAGGCTCACGCTCTCTCTCAAAGCCGTGGGAAGCGAGTGCGCGGCCTCCGCCGCCGCCAGCTGCCGCGGAACTGCCTCTGCACAATCTCGCAAGAGGGGGCATGCTGTCTACGGGTGTTTCCCTTCATTTTTAATTTTTTACTGCCATGATATTTGTAAAAGATGAAAACTATCAGGAAAGAGCAGCAGCCATTTGGATATTGGTGGGGGAGCCCCAAGAACCCCTCACGTATATACCATGCTGGGCTCCTTCGCCAAGACCCCCAAAGACTGAGATGGGCCCAGGGATTTCCCAGCATTCCCTGTCCTTGTACAGCCTTCGTCTGACCTCACCGTATATTTTCCTACAGTCGTCATTTGTAACAAGCTCGGGACAAGGGGAGCCTGAGGGACAGGGAGGGCAGAGCCTTTCAACTTCTGGCTCCGGTGGCTAAAGCCGGAAAGCAGCCGAAGTGCTGTGGGTGCCTCCCATAGACGCTGAGGGCCGGGAACCCTCGGGTCTCCTTTCCCCAAAGACGTGAGCCACGCGCAAGAGCTGGAGAGGGGCCCTTGGGATCCAGCAGTTCGCTCTACGGGATGGCATCGTGCCACTGGCCTCGTCACACAGGCCCCCCTGCTTCTTTTCCTTCCCAGCCTCTCCCCACGTGCTCCCGTGGCAATCCTCAGGGTAGGGGGCATCGACAGGAAGGGTGATGAGCCCAGAGTTGCTTCCTTAGCAAAGCAGACACACACACACACACACACACACACACACACAACCTCAGAAAAATGATTGTAGCAAGTGCTATGTTTATAACTCTCGATGGGGTCGCCCTTCAGAAGTTTGTATTTTGTTCACAGCATGCAGTCACTATAGGACATGTGGGAGCCAGGCTTGGCCTTATTTTAAAACTAATCTCTTTACCTCCTACTAATGTCAGTAGGACTTCAAGAGAAACCGTGTCAAATCACAGGGTCATGATTGTATGTACTCACTTCAGGAGCTGGAAAAAGAGAGGGAGGCACTGGGTTTTCCAGCTGTCTGGTAACCTGATGGGGAGCAGTTACGGTCCAGGGGGAGGGTCCAAGCTCAGAACCATGATCATGGGGTGGCCTGTGCCACAGTGCTGGGGATGCTCTGCTGCCTCTCCTGACCTGGGGTTTGGTCATTTGTGTGCTCGGGTGTCTTTCAATGGTGCCTGAGAAAGGAAAGAGAAGAGGTCTCTCCTAAGCAAGGCGGGGCTCACCCAGGTGTACGCCTGCAGAGAGGAATCAGACTCTTAAAAGTTGACAAGAACTGAAGGTTGAAAGCTCAGTTCTAAGAACTCTGCTTTAAGAGAGTGCAGTTAGGGGTGCAGATGGTCTGGACCGCAGTGACAGCAGGGAACCGTCCTGGCACTGACCTTGTATACGTGTTATGCTGCAGCAGCCCCATCCTGACCACCTCTGCCTGGCGCTCATTGCTTTGCTGCAGAGTCTGGACCTAGTGCTGATTTCCCTCATTCTGAGGGGGACCTGACAGGTTGGGACCTTTCCTACCAAAGATATTCAGTGTTTCTGAAAGCCTGTTGTCTGGGCCCACCCGCCCACCTGCTCAGTGGCCATGGCAGGACCCAGGACTTGGCCCTCCCTGGTCTGTGTGGAGTGGGACTGTCCTCTCCTGGCTCTCAGGGTTGGCACAGATGGTCCCGGGGAGCAAAGTCTGGAGGCCAAGGCCAGGCGCCTTCCCCTGAGGCCCTGCACACTCTTGTAGCTTCCCACTTGGGGTGGCCCCAGACTACCTACGGCTGAGAAATTGTTAGACATAGCCCCAGACGGAAGCATACAAAGAAGGGGAAGTGAAATTTCCTGAGGCTGAGTCGTGATTGTGATTTTTGGATAAAGCCATGGGCCTTCCCTGTCTTTATCTTGAGAGGCTGCCAATTAGTCCTTGAGCAGGGGCTGTAAAATATCTAGAATCCTATCTACCATCTTCCCCTCAAGTCTGCCTTCCTTAAACATGCTCCTTCACTGACTTCCAAAGTTTTGAACCTGCTACATTTAAAGCAGAGCAAGCAAGGGCCCTAATGACTCTCACGTCCAGCTTCAGAAGCTCCTGCCCAGCTCCCCGGGGACTTGATGACAGGCTCTGACCCCGCCCCCCAGCACCCCGCAGGCCAGTGTGGCCAGGCCCGTCCACTTCCCTTCGTCTCTGCCTGAGGGACACAGGTGTCTATTCGGAAATGAACCCCCGTCTGGGTTTGAGGGGCACAGATGCTGATGCGTGAGGCACTGAAGTCCAGACTTGTTGGGGCAGGGGGCGGAGGATAAAGCCCCACAAATGTTCTCCTACGACTGACTCTTAGGATCTAAACTAGGCTGGACCGGAAGCCCGGATCTGTTCATCTCGAGGTCACAGGGCCCATGACACGAGCTTGTGTGAGTGACAGTGTGGCTGGATGTGCTTTTGTCCTCCATCTAAGGATTTTAGGGACTTTTGCTGTAATTGTATTCTCTGGGAAAAAAGAAACTTTTTAAAATGAGCCAAACCTTTTCTTTCATTTTCATGCTTTGGGCTAATTGCCTACTCTTGCCTGAATGCTGCTCTGGGCTCCCGAGCAAGGACCGCGAGCTTCAGACCCCACCCACTGAGCCTGCCACTGGAAGCCGGCCATGCAGTGCTCTCCAGCGAGCACGTGCACCGACCGATAGAGAGCAGAGGTGCCAGGGTAATACCTTTGAATTACAGTATTGAATTCTTCAGCAAACCTATGAGGACCTTCAGTTACCATGGGGAAATCTTCTACTATGGCTCTAAGTTCTGCTTTAGTCCCTAGGGTGTAAGAAATTGTGTTTAGTGGTATCCTCCAAAGGCCTAATACAAGGGAGCGTTTTAACAGGCTTAGCGGGTAAGGTTTTAGCACTAGAGGAGAGGGGACATTCTGCTAAAGGAAGGGGTTAGAATGGGGCAAAGGTAGCTGTGGAGGAGGTGGAGCAAAGGGGCTGGGGGAACCGCAGTTGGTGCTGCCAAGGAAGGGGCTTCAAATGCTTTTAAACCTTTTTTAGTTATTTTCTTCAGTTAATTTATACGTAGTATTGTATGAAGAGGCAGTTTTAGAATCCTGACTGCTTAGAAGCCTCTAGGTACCAATGAAAATCGTTTTCTCATTTAGATTCTTTAGTTCAATTACTGTGATCTTCTAATTGACTCCGGAGAAAAGTTTAGGGGTATTGAGAACTCCTCATAATGACCACTGATCATCTTTAGTAAGGTTGGCCCGTTGTGCCAGAAATGCACACAAGGCAAAAATACACTTTTTTAACATAAAGCCAGCTGGAGTCCCTGAAGGAGGGCCACCCTTTGAGCATTTAGGTGACTGGGAATAAACCCCATTTATTTTCTTGAGAGCCAAAAAAAATTCCTAAATAGTCTGAAGGGGGTGCTTTCAGGATTGGGAGTTGTATTTTGTTTTACTGGGACTGTGCCTTTCACGGATACACTTTTCTTCTCAAGGATGGCCTTTGCCCTTGTTGTCTGCCTCATGACCAGGGATCTCCTGTCACACAGAAATTTTCCTGGCAGTTAGCTGTCAATCTGGTCTTTCCATGATCAGTTTATCCTCTCTCGGGGTCTTTTTGCTTTGGAGATCAAGTCTTTCATAAGGAAGTGGCAAGCACTTTGATAGATTTATTTGCTGGAGGACCCAAGACCACTGATATTATTTTTAGTTTTTACTTTCAAAAATTCTAAAGTAATTATACCAAAATTATAGTGCACTCCTAAACAAGAAAACAAGTGAGTAGGATGAACGCTGAAACAGAAAGAATGAAGCATTTGAACAGGTTCTGAATAAAGCAGTGGAGCTCAACCAAAGGGTAGGAGCCAGAATCCAAGAGGAGACCCCCCCCAAACCAGAAGCAAGGGAGACTCGAGAAAGCAATGAGCACCAAGGGCTCAGTGAGGGTACCCTGCTCAATTCTGAAGGAATTCCAAGGGTCACTGTCCCTTGAGGGTCGTTTCCTTTGCAGTTAGGGACAAGCAACCTGTAGGAAACGATAGGCGAGTCCTGAATTGCAGTTCCTCTGCTATTCCTGAGAACTCATCTCCTTTTGCAATTTTGAGCTTGCCTCTCTACTTAGGTTCACAGAGCCAGCTGTCAAAGTGTTGTTCAGGTCTCTGTGGGGACTAAACGAATGCCTTAGGAACACCAGGCACAGAAGGAGCCTAATCTCCCCTTATTGCATTGACCACCTTACGGCACATGTACCTTCTGGGAAATTTTGGGAGCCCTGGTGGTGATACAAGTCGATGTGCATTTGATGAACAGATTGTACAGTGTTTTGCAATAAAGATGCTTAGCCTTAAGACCCTTGAATGGAACTCCAGCTGTGGTGGAGCTGCCAACACTCTTTCCCCCTTCCTCCCTCCTCACATAGTGTTGCTTAAACAGGAGGCCCACTGCGGGCACTCGGGCCCCCGGACAGCCTCTCTTCTGTGGAAATCATTGCACTGCCTTCTCGCTCGCTTCAGTAAGGACTACCTTCACCAGCTCTTGTGCCCTCCGGTGGGGCGGATGCCACAGTCTTCTCAGCGCCGACTGCAGCCGTCAGAGAAACCACCATTCTTCCAGGAACCAAGGAGTTCACGTGGAGAAGTTTTCATTCCCACCCCACCCGCATCCAACAGATGAAAAGAATCAATGTGAATTTGATGAAGCTTAAATTAGTTTCACATGAAACTTCATTCTCATGGGCGTCTATCAGACTTTTTCTGGAGCCTCTAGAACTGGACTTGAATTACCTGCAGGTGCCGGACCCGGTGCGTGCTCCCCCGGCCGGCCATGAAACTTTCCTTAGAGCCGTTGTCTCTTTCTCTGTGACTTCTGGGTCCATTCGTTGTACAATGAGAAGTTCACGGATCTCGTGTCAGGATATGGACCGCTTTTATGTCAAGAAAGATGCAATCCCCCAATGAATGTATTCTCTTAATATTCAGACACTGTATTTGTGTGTCGGTTGGACGGTCCACAGCCAACATTCTGCCAACACCGCAAGGACACCTGCTCCCAAGTAGTTTGTCACTCTGGGGCTTCTCCTTATACTAACACTCTTTCCACTGAGTCCTGCCAAATCCTTCACGGGGTTTTCTTTTTCCTTTGCATCTGTCACCTTGTCCAAATGAGCATGAATAAACAGAAGTGCAAATGAGCCGATACTATTTTTGTGGCCAGCGGAGGACGCTGCCAGGAACTCCCCTGTATGTCTGCAACTTGGGAATGTGAAGAGGAACATGTGGGCCCCTCCATTGGTGATATTCCCTTTCAACATTTTTAAACAAGCACAAATGATATTTGTAAAAAAAAAGTTTAATTTTATTTATTATGGTAATAAACTATTTTATACATGATGCTTAGTTTTGCCTTTTCTTATATGATCTCAATTGGGTGTTCTGACCTAAAATGACAGAGCAAAAATGGTACTTCTATTTCTTTCCGGAGCTTGGCAAGCTCTAATTTAGAAGCACTTACAGTTGCGGTTTTTGGAGAACTTAAATTCTAGAGACACCAAGAGTGTGTGTCAAAGTACCACCCAGCAAGGTAACAACTGTGAAGTTACTTTGCAAGATGATCTTGAAATAGAGCTGTGTCTGCTATACCCGGGTACAGAGATGTCTTCAAAACCGGGCATCGCTGGAAAATCGTGCGATGACACATTGATTTAATGCATATCTGAAACCGCCCTCTGCTTAGACGTGAACTTTATTTTTAACAGTTTGGATTGAGATCTGTACAAGACACGAATGCTTTCCCGCCATTTATAACACAGTGTAAAAACTGGACCTTTTCAGAAAGGTCGTGACTCCGTGTCCACAGCATGAATTGGATGTGTGCTTAACTCACTGGTGGTCTCGGAATCTTGAAGGCAGAGAGCTGCTCGGCCCCAGCTAGCGGGTCCTCTGCACCAGCACTGCCAACCCGAGCTCTCTTTTAACACCAGCGGGCCACGTTTCACAAACGACACTTTGCTTTTTACCGGCAGGACTCTGCTTGATCTCATGAGGCCCCACCCTATTATTGAATGACATCGCAGAAAAGCATAATAATAATAATGGAAGGGTATATTGCTTAAAATTCCACATGACTGATGTTCATTTTAAAGGTCCCATCTAATAAAGCACTAAACATTGCATTCTTTAGATAGCCTTGATGGCAGGGAAAAAAAAACTCTTGTGAATACAATCTTTATAATTAATCAAAAGGACTAGTAATACAGAGCCAAGGAATACACTTTGGGTGACAGATGGGTTTCCACTATTAGAAGAAGAGAGATTTTGTTGCTTTGTTTTAAAATAAAATAGTTTCCCTGAAGAAAAGGCCCCAGAGAGCTTCCCAGCGGGCGCAGAAAGGCCGGCCCCGTGGGGGTTCCCCGGGTTCCCCACAGCTGGCCCTGTGGAATGGATACGTTTGCTAGAAAACCAACTCGTTATATTATGGCTAATTTCTTACACTTAGTCAACATATTATTTTAAATAAGCAAGTGAGCAGGATCACTATCTCTAAGGGGAATCCCCTCCCACTAAATTACTACTCTCCCAATGTATAGATCATTATACAACTATACAAGATTGGTACATAATTTTTTGCTAGGTCTGCAGTCTTGAATAGAATGAAGGGTTTTCTATGGTCACTTCAAGCAAATGAATCTGAAGAAATAATACAATACTGCTAGATCTCTCGTGTGGTCCTAAGAATTAGTCAAAGTGACTTAAGACATGGCTGTCCCTCAGCTCTCTCGCTTGCCTCCTTGGGGATCGTCTTGGCCATCATGCCTGGAGCTCTTTGGCTTTTGCTGGGTTGGGTCAGAGGGTCCTGGGGCTGGGAGTGACCTTGGACCTCGTCTAGTTGTTTCCCAGCCCCGAGCCTGAAGCTGCCTAGGGCCGATGATGCGCAAAGTGATGTGTCAGCAGTTCCCCAGCTGGAGCTGCTCAGGCTGCCCGGGCTCCTCAAGTCTTTCAGTTAGAGCAACTCCGAGATTTTAGTTCTTGTGCATGAAGAGAAAGATACCATCATTTTCACGTAGTAGTTGGGGAATAGCAAGAAGCTAGAGGAAGAAAACAAGGGTCCTGGATGATCGGCATACCAGTTACTGAGTCCTCAAATGCACGGCTGAACAGTCATCATTTCCTGACTCCTGAGAACCACTCCAATCATGTCGTAGCTGAAAGCCAGTTCAGGGTTATTACTCTCAAATACAGGGTACGGCTCAAATAATGCCCCTTCTTACAAAATCATAAGCATCACACTCAAGTGTGCCTTATGACATTTTGGGTGAAATGTTCAAATTAAAACTATACATTATTACATCCATATTATTACCCTACCAACCACACTCAAGCAGGCCTTACTTCTGCTGGACCCCATATATTCCAATACAGGTTAATGAATGAATAAACTTATTTTATATAAATGGTGTCTCTGAAGAGTTCAGAATCTTTTCTAGTATTTATACATGTGCATACACTTCCTTATAACCATCTTCACACTCCCTCTTTGTCCCCCTTGGAAAGCCCTGCCCCTTCAGCCACACTCCCTCGGACAGACCACAAGTCCCAAATCAGCGCCAGTCCATGAGGCTGTACTGTATTCGTCTGAGTGCTCACTCTTCCCCAGCCTCGTGCCCTCCTTAAAAACGCCCGGTGCCTTGGAATCGCCTGCCTGTGTCTCCTTTACTGAGCCAGCTGCCGAGGCCACTGCTGCCCTGCTCTGCCGGCCCCCCGTGGCCTCTGCCCTTTGCAGCTGCCCGCTCAGCTCCTCTGCATCCGCCCCCCATCCACACAGAGCGGCTCGGAAGAAAGAACATCAGCAAAATGACTGAGTGCAGCAAAATGTACTCGGAGAGTTTAAATCACGCTGAGTTAACAACCACGGCCAGCACACAGTAACAGATCACCAATGTGAGACAGTCTGACACAGACCAGGGCCAAGGGAACCCAAGACGATCCAAGTCATGTGCTTGAGATGTTTTAAGTTCTCCCATCATCGGGCACACTACAGATTCAAATTTTTAAAAGTTTATTCACCTACCCCCGCTCTCACTGCTCTAAAAAAACCCCAAAACCTGAAGCCAAACAAGTATTCTGAATTATCTGCCATGTGAGGCCATTAGTAGCCTGTCAGCACCTTTCCAGAGGAATGAAGAATTAAGAGTTATGTAAGTGTGTTTAAACATTTTCCTCAAAAAATATTTAAAACCATTCTACAAAAAAGTGACTTGTGTGATAGAAAAAGCTCCACTTTATTTGAAACAAAACCAAGCAGTATAAAGCACTGAATGCGAACCACTGAGTGGGAAGACGGCAGCGGGACTTGGTGGGGAGAGGAGGCCCCGGGAAGCCATCCTTACCCTTCATGACTCTCCTGATAGCACCTGTCCGCAGCGCGCTGTGCCCTGGTTTCTAAACTCTGCTTCCTTCCGTGGACGTGATGAACTGTCTGGTAGGGGCACTGCACGGTGACTGCTCTGCAAACCCAGGGAACGAGCAGCCAAGTGTAGGTCGCCACGATGAAGTTCCAAAAACAGGTCTCCTTGGGTGCGGGCTCCTTGGAGTGTCACGGAACACACTCTATCACTTTACCGGGTAATTAGAAACACGGCTGCGACTCTGCCCCCTCCCTACTGAGACCACACTGCAGGGCATGGGGGAGGGGGGCACGGAAATGCCACCAAAATGTTTTGGAAATATTGCCCAGTGAAGGACAGGCCTATCACCAGTCAGGATTTCTGGGCCTCAGTCAAAAAATGCCCATTACTTTTAATTCTTAGCAAAGGAGAAAAAACCCAGAGGGCCTTTGGGCACTGGGGACCACAGTGTCACCACGGGCAGATGGGCAGGACGCTACAGCTGGGCCCCAGCTCACTCAACAGGAAAAGGATGGTGGGGGGAGATGATCTCTGTGTCCCTGACGGTGGAGACTCCGGTTGTCGATTTTCTACGAGAGTTCAATCTTCCAGTCCTGGAGTGAGGTCCCTTCCACAAAGGAGGAGCAGGTCAAGCGCTGGCCCCTTGGAGGTCACCGTGGGCCGTGAGGGCAGGGAGAAGCACCATTTGCCTTGGAGGCCGAGCGCAAGGCCAGCCGGGGCCCATGGCCTCAGTTCTCGGAGTACGTCTGGGCCCAGGCGATGCCCACGTGGGAGTAGCAGTACAGGAATCCCAGGACAGAGAGGGTCACCCACGGCCAGCCTGCAGCGGGGGCAGAGACAGAAGAGCGGTTAGAAACGCCGGAGTGGGGCCCCCACCGGTGCAGCCTGTCCCCCCGAGGAGAAGGCAACCTAAGAAAGAACACGGGCTTCGGTTCACAGCTTGAGACAGGAGCCTCCTGGAACGTTCGCTGTAACTGGAATGCCAGCCAGGCAAAGCTCACACCCCCATTGGGTCAGCATCAAATGAGGGGTGTGCTATCATAAATGCAAATTATGTTTAGAAGAAGGACAAGCTTTTAAAGAATACATATTTAGAAGACTAAAGCAGTTAATAATAACAAAAGAACAACAGTCCATGAGACCCACAGTAAATCTCAAATTATTACATTAAATCTCAAGTAAATCTCAAATGATCAATGATTATATTGAATTCAGTGTCATCGGTAAGCACACAGACGGGGGAGCCTAAATTAAACATTTGCTTTCGAAACTCACACCTTTTAGTGGTTCCTTCTACAAGTACTTTGAATATCTGATGTCCTTTTCTTTATCCTTCTTCGTTTAATTAACAGCCCTTTCTGCTGAGTATTTGTTTCTTAATGATCTCCATGCCTTACACATGTTTCACGTATTCAAACATTCACTGGGGACTCTGGGCAGCCAGAGGTGCTGTGGGAGGTACCACTGCGGAAGGCACGGTGCTCCACTCCAGCTTGGCACAGACAGACACACACCACTGGGGGTTAGGAGCCATGTGTATAAGCCCGGTAATGATGTGTGCAGAGCACACGCAAACTGGACCGTGTGGGACGAGCAAGAATTCGTCAGGTGGAAAGGGACGGGACAAGGTACCAGAGGGGTCACCGGAAGTGTGAACACCACAGGCCCTTCAAGGAACAGGGATCACGTGACGTGGCCACCCCACAGGGAGGGGCGGGTGGGGAAGGGGCAGGAGTAGGGAGGAGGCATGGGGAGCCACTGCGGGTTATTACAACTGTGCAAGGCTCTTCTCGCCACGCCAGCCATCAGCGGCTACTATTAGTAACACAGCAGCACGGTGGTTAAGAGTGCAGGCTCTGAAGGGGGATTAGGCACAAGCTCAAGTCCTGGCTCTGCCACTTGCCAGCTGCGTGACCTTGAGCAACTGAAGAAATATCAAATGTAAAATGAGGAGGGATAGAGTAACGTACTTAAGTATCTTTATAAGGTCCCATGGACTAAATTATGCCCCCCACCCAAACTCCTATGCTGCAACCCTGATCCCCAGGGTGCTGATACTCCGAGGTAGAGCCTTTGGGAGGGAAACAGGAGAGATGAGGTCATGAGGGTGGGGCTCTCGGGATGGGATTAGTGCCTTTATTACAAGAGATACCAGAGAGTTTGCTTCCCTTCCTTTCCCTTCCCTGCTCTCTTGTACCAGATAAGAGCACAGAGAGAAGGCAGTTGACTTTCAGCCAGGAAGAGGGTCCTTACCAAATTAGCCGGCACCTTGATCTCAGACTTCCCAGCTTCCAGAACTGTGAGGAATAAACGGCTGTCGTTTAAGCCACCTGGTCTGGTATTTTGTTACAGCAGCCTGAGCTAACTGAGACGTAAGGGTGCTGTCCAGTGATGGCCCGTGGCCCACAGTGGGCACTACAGAAAGGCAGTGATAACGGAGATGAGAGCACAAAGAAGTCTTTCTCCAACAAGACTGGAGCAACACCAGGGAGGTCAAGCCCTACTGTTTCCAGCTTGTTCCTTGGCCCTGCTCAGCGCAGGAATTCTCCCAGGTCCTGAAGGTGAGGCAAGAAAGGGGAGCAGAGAACCCCCAGTGGCCTGGCTCTGGGACCAGCCCTGATGCCCCGCCCCCTGGCTGACAACAGACAGGAACTGGAACAAATCACCACACACTTCATGGCTTCAAATAACAGCAATGCATTCTAGAGGCCATAAGCTTGACATCAGGGCGCTGGCAGGGCCACCTTCTTTCTGAGGGCTCCACGAGGGACTCCTTCCTTGCCCCTTCCAGCTTCTAGTGACCCCAGGTATGCCCTGACCTGTGGCAGTGTCCCTCTAATCTCTGGCCCGTCTTCACACGGCCTCCTTCCCTGGTCTCTCTGTGTCCTCTCCGCTTGTAAGGACACACGTCCTTAGACTGAGGGCCCACCCGCAATCCAGGATGATTTCCTCGCAAGATCCTTAATTAATTACACCTGCAAGCACCCTGGTTCCAAGTGAAGCCACAATTTGAGGTTCCAGTACATGTGACCTCGGAGGGCACTGCTCAGCACTGCAGAGTCAGATACTTTTTCAAGCTTCACGACGGACCCACCCTGCCTCCAGGCCATCAGCTCTCTCAACTCTGTGGCTCAGACACACACGCCAGGGGGCCTGTTAACACCTGCTGGGCAGTGGGCTCAGGGAACAGGAAGAGGGAAGGGGCTCCAGGTACAGGAAGTGCTCCCCAACTTCAGCTGTGCTTGGGATGAGGCATCAGCAGGGGGTTGGTAAACACAAAACCCAGAGGCCGGCTGTGGAGCTGAGGGTTGGGATGTTTCGTTTGCACAAAACTGGGCCTGGGGCATTGCACAGCCGTGCCTGGACACCCCCATGGAAGCGGCCGTGCAGCACACAGAATTCTAAGGAGAAACGTCCCCAACACCGCCCCGAGGTGAGGCACATACATGCGCAGTTAGGACCACAGCGGAGCCCTGAAAATGCTCCCCACAGTGACCGTGCCATCCAGAGAGGCAGCTACACAGCAGTTAGGAGGCTTGCAATCCCGACTCTACTAAGAGATACTAATAGGGTCTCAGTTTCTCCTTCTATACAATGGGAGGTCAAAAATAAACCATAGCATGTGAGGATCTCAGTCTGGGTAGTGCTTTTACAAAGTGTTTCAGAAAAGCAAAGGATTGCTATAGGACCCCCCTGAGCATTCTGTCACACACACAGACAGGCGGCCTTTTTAGTGCACGCGTGTTCCCCCCACAGACAGTAACCCCAGTGTGTACCGGACGATTACCTCTTACCCTTTCTTGACCTGAAGTGTAGTATGTGATGACAAGGAAAGGACAGATTCCGCAAGTCCCTTGCATGACATACAGCCAATATTTACCTCAGGTGCAGCCAGTACTGCACCTGAGCCTGTGCTGTGTGCCAGGCCCTGTCCTAGACACTGGCATCGCCATCTGGGGGTAGGCACAGGTGCAAGGTCTTGGACTGTGGTGGCTGCAAGGAGGCACCAATGCGGCTCAGGTGTATAGGGAGGACGTGCAGGGGGTGCTTGGGGCACAGCCTCCTCCTCATCAGGGCTCAGATGAGCCCAGGATCATAGGAGTGAAAAGAAACTAAGACAGGCTGTCGTTCTGGAGACATTCCAAGGGTTGCTACGATGTGCCGTCATCGGGCTTGTCGGCTGTTAACCAAAAAGACAGCACCACAGAGGTCCGTCCTGACAAATGAGCACACCTCATCCTGCAGTCCTCCCGCCCCATGGCCTGTCCCTGCTCTGTCCTTCTCTGCTCTCCATTCTCACCAGCATTTCCAATGTGCGGCGTCCAGTCAACTTCCACATCCCCACGGCCCTGACCCTGTACATGCACATGCACATGCACACACACACGTGCTCCATGAACGTGGATCATAAAGCCTGGGGAGCAGCGAGGTGCTTCTTGGTCAAAGGAAAAGGTCCTTCTTGAGAGGGTACTTTAGGGTCAAAGCCGCCTGCACACCCTGCACAGTCACGGCGGGGCCCCCAGAGTGAATGAGCTGTGTAGCTTCCCAGTGGGCTTTTGATGCCTGGACCTAACAAGGTCTCAACAGGTGAACGGTTTTAACAGTATTGAAGATATTATCAACAGGATGCTAGCAACTTAGACACCAGGTGTAAAAAATTAGATGATATAGTTAATAAGACAAATCATTTGACAGATACAGCTAAATGCATTTAAGTGGGATGTACAACACAAAGGATTCAATTAAGAGGACCAGTGTGTACACAGCATAATAGATGGAGCAATGAGATTTAGGCGGCTGCACCACGATGTTGTTAATAAGGGAGAGTGAGGTGTGCAGTAACTGCGGCTAATGAGAACCCGGCAGAACAGCGGGGAAGGCTGCAGCTAATGCAAAGTGACTGTGTCGTTTTACTTGAGGTCTCTGTGCCTGAGCAGTTCTCCGAGCAGTTCCATCACTGTGAAGGGGCTGGAAAGGCAGCGCCTCGGGACAGCGAAGGAGAAGATGACCAGCATGCAAGGGCCACGAGAAGGGAAGAGACACGTCGAATTGGTTTTCGGGGGAGTGAAGGGATAATCAGAACAAGAAGCGGGTCTGGTGAAAAAGTGTTCAAAATGTAACGCTGTAAAACGATACAGCCACAGCGGAAAACAACATGGGGGTTCTTAAAAAATTAAACATAGATTTACCACACAGACACCCAAAAGAGCGGAAAAGAGCAACTAGGAGAGACATTTGCACACCCAAGTTCACAGCAGCATTACTCACAGCAGCCGACGGTGGAAGCAGCCCAGGTGTCCGGTGACAGATGAAAGGATCAACAACACGGGGCGCATGCGTACAATGGAGTAGTTCTCGGCCTTCAAAAGGAAATTCTGACACTTGCTATGACATCCGTGCACCTTGAAGACATTAGGCTGAATGAAGCCAGCCACAAAAGGACAGATACTGCATGGTTTCCACTTACTCGAGGAACCTGGAGCTGCCAGACTCAGGGACACAGAAAGTACAGGGGTGGCTGCCGGGGGCCGGGGCGCGAGGAAGACGAGGGAGTTATCGTTTGATGGGTACAGAGCTTACGTTTCTCGTTTCTCGAGACGCAGAGACTTCTGGAGCTGGAGGGTGGTGGTGGTCGCACAACAACAGGAGTATACTTAATGCCACCCTGGCCTGTACACGTAAAACTGGTTAAGATGGTAAATTCTGTGTTGTGTATAATTTACCACAATTAAAAAATTTTTATGCTGAGTAAAAGAAGCCATTACAAAACTAACACACACCATATGCCTCCATTTATGTAAAATTCAAGTTGATTTACAG